CTTCTCTTGAATCTTTTCCTGCATGTTCCCCCCTCCCCCCCAAGGAAGACCACACCGAAGGAAGCCACCCCAACCATCAATCTACCTGCTTCGGTGCTGCCTCCCCCCCTCCCCCTGAAACATCCTGCCGAAATGAATAATTTTGAGGAAGGGGTGGGAGGGAGATATTTAGGCTCGGAAAATGTGACTGTCCTTTTGGTCTGTCTCAAAGCTTTGTAATGGAAAACAGGCGCTTAACGCAAGCAACATGGAGAATAGAGAAGGGAAATCAAAACCAGGCACCACAGAAAGAGAGATGCTGAATCTTGAAAACAACAATTATGGGAAATGGGCAGAACTTGGTACAATCAGATATCAGGAGAGGCGCAAGTGGCAACTGGAAATTTTTGGGGGGGGGGGGGGAAATTTTGGGGGGGGGGGGGGGAAGGGTCGGTGGGGAGAATTCTGCCATGAAAACCCGTGTTTCCCTCTGGAAAAATATCGTGGGAGAGACAAAAAGTGATAAAAGGGTTCTGCCTTATCAAGCCAAAGCAGCATCTAATGGCCCACTTTGGTTCCATATCAGGAAAACAAACATCTGTAAAAAGCCCAAATGCAGGCGAATCTGGGGAACTGGCCCAGAGATCCTCAGTACCTTCACTTTCACTACAGATTTCCAGTACGAGATCCTGCAAGATCTTGACTCTTAAATGACTAAAATGGTCAAAGAAAACCAGCAGCATCGTAGACACATTAGCACAAGCCTATTTATTTCTTGTGATGGACGCTGCTTTCTCAAACCAGGAGGGGGGGCTTAAAACAACACCCCCTCTTTCTGCTTAGTCTCCCAGGTTCCTGATCCTTCAGTAGGTTTTTAACCTGCCCATTTTCCGGTCTCCCTTGGCAGTTATAAGGATTGTCCAAATAATCCTTCGCTCTGGCTGAATATGCAAGAGAGAGAGAGAGTGGTTTGGGGGGAAAATAGTGCCCCGAGATTAAACTCCATCAAATGAGACAAAACAGGACAGTTTGCAGAATGAAATTGCTTTAAATGCTGCTGAAACTGAAACCCCGATAGTTCCGAAAGAGACCCCTGGAAATGGACAGTTCAGAAATGAAAGCATCAATGCACTCAAGAGACACACCGATAACTAAGTCTTGGTGCACGTGACTGGAGGTGTGTGCGTCGGAGAGGAGGACGGAGGGAGATGCTTAACACCCTTTTCTTCTATAGGATGATGAGCAAAATTTCCCTCCCTCTCTGGCACTTCTTTGGACGGCACACACACGCCCATCTCCATCACTTCCCCCCACCCCCCACCCCACGGCTGATGCCTTTCTATCATCTCCCCTTCCGAGGAGATGCCGGATCATAAGCAGAAGACTTCACTCCAGAGAACTGCAGCTGCCTTTCCCCCAAAATCAAATCCATCCAAAACTTTGTGGAGAGATGGCCTGGATACTCACAGATTAGGGGGCTTTGCTTTCATTCCACTGTCTTTCTTTCTTTCTTTTTAAATTCTCGGCAGGTGTCAAGGGACTGGGGTACCAGAGGGTAAGAGTGTTTGTACAGAGGGCAAGGGGATTAAAGTTTTGTCCTGGAGCCACGGATGCCACAGTCTCCGCTTTGAAAGCTGTTTCTCCATCGCTGGAGAGGCCCACCAGCTGCAAAAGAGAGCCGCACGTTTTTGGCTTCTTTTGCAATGCTACTTCAGAGACTGACACGTTTCCTACTCACCGGAGTCGGAAGTGATGGCATTACATATCTCTTTCCTCAGTGGTGCCGCAGCCCTCGGTGCGCCTTCGGCAGACTTCCTTTGACACGGGAGCCGAGTGCGGCGAGGAGGGTTGTGACGTCCGCCTGCATCTCTCTCTCCGCTCTCAGCTGGAAGGTCTCAAGTTCCAGAATTGGGATTCCCTTCCTCTTCGCACATGTTTAACCCTCCTTGGGCTGGAAGCAAACAGGAAACACCCTCTGACGGTTTCCAAGGAGGAGGAGGAACCGCTCGGGGAGAAAGGACCAAGATATTTCTGCTTTGTGGATTCAGCTCTCCAAGAGAAACTGTTAGTTTCTCCACGGTTGGATTAACACAGCACATTTCATGGGGTTACTGAATTAACCCATCTTCTGCATTCATATATTAAATCAGACCGCTACAGGACCAAATCAGCTTTGTTCTCAAGTTACATCATAAGTAGCCCAAAACCCAAGGTTAGCATTTTATACAAATTTAGCTTCGGGCTCCTGACCTGAGAGAAACTGGGTTGTAGGAACAAGTCCGAAAGGCTTCCCAGAGAAGGAAAACATGGGAGTTCTTTGAGCAAACTTTCCAATTCAGCGACAGAGTTGCAGGTCCCATCAAGGTGGGAAAAATATATATATTTTCCCTCATGGATGTGTTACTATAATTCAGGGGTCTCCAAATTTAGCAACTTTAAGACTTGTGGACTTCAACTCCCAGAATTCCCCAGCCAGCCTTACTGGTAACTTGGTTACCTGGTTTATACAATATGGGCAGGACAGTAGAAGATTTCCCAATGCTGGACAACAAACCCACCAAAGTCCATCTCAGCCTGGTCTGTTCTGGATCCGTTTCAGGAAAAGAGAGAGAAGCTTAATTTCAAAACAGAGAAATTTCTTTCTTTCCCTTTCCAAAAAATGGAATGATTAATCACAGATTAAAAAAAAAAGTGGAGATGCCTTGGAAAGAGAGAGAAAATGCCAGATGACCAGGTTCTGCCGTAACTTTCTGAATCTTGCATGACATCAGGGAATTTAAAGATGGCCACCCTGTTTTTAACTGTTTCCAGGATTCTGGGATAGCTTTTTCGAAGTTTTTTCCAGGTGATGTTTTAGGGAACATGTACTGTGTCTTGATTAAGTTAAGACTGGTATTCTTGATGGTCAGGTACACCATGGTTTTCACACAACTAGCAATCTACAACAGTTCATTTAGTAACCGTTCAAAGCTACAACATCACTTAAAAAAGGGACTTATGACCATATTTCACACTTACGACAGTTGCAGCATCCCCAAGGTCACGTGACCAAAATTCAGACAGTTGGCAACTGACTCACATTTATGACAGTTGCATTATCCCAGGATCAGGTAACCCCCTTTCGTGACCAAAGTCAACGAAGAAGCCAGATTCACTTAACAACCGTGTTCCTAACTTAACAACTGCAATGACTCACTTAAGAACTGTGGCAAGAAAGGTCATAAAACGGGGCAAAGTTCCCTTAACAAATGTCTCGCTTAGCAACAGAAGTTTTGGGCTCAGTTGCGGCTGCAAGTTGAGGGCCACAGAGAAAACCATGTCTCACCTCCATTTTAAAGAAGAGGATTTTGAGTCCTGGGGGAAAAGGGTGACGTCCCAGATCAAACAGGAAGCTGGAAAGCTGGCAGATGGAGGCTCTTTATTGACTGCTCCTAGATTACAGTTTCTATCAATCTTTTAGATTGGCTCTGTCTGGTTTCTCCACTGAAAACAGAGTGATAATTTATGGCGGAGCACGGTAGGGGAAAAAAAATTAATCACCACAGGACTGCCAAGCCCCGGACTTATTTTCCTTCGGTCAAATAAATTTTCTGCTTGATTGCAATTTCCCGCATTTATCTGCAGTTGAAAGCTAAGTGTTTGCACAAAAAGAAGAAAAACTATCTTCTAGCCAAACTGCAGAAGACAACACTAAAAATTCCTGAGATGTTTTTAGAAGAATCAGGGGGCTAATTTTGGCCTTCTGAAACCTAACGGTCCTTCGCCCAGCAGTGACGTTTCCTTTGCAAATCGCCACCATTCCACCTCGCGGGTCTCAACAGTTGGTGCCAATTCATAGCCTTGGCTTTCAAAACAGCCTTGCTAACTAAGGAGCTTGGGTTGCCCCAACCAAGCCTTGCTCACTCATTTCTGTCCATTACGAAAGCTCTCATGTTCCAAAGAGCCCTGGCTTCCCAGGAGTCGTCTTTGCATGCGTGCCTATTTCTCGTTCAGAGAAAAAAAACAAACAAACAAAGCCATAGCTCCTATTTAACAAATTGCCTTGGGAACAATAGAAGCAAGAATTGATTTGGAGCCCAAGTTGGGGGGGTCCAAGTTTTTCTCTATTTGCATGAACCTTCTCGTCCAGAATAACTGACTTCGCATTAGGGTATTTCCCGTCCTTTTCTTCTCTTCTGACAAAAAGGACAAGGGGGTGCATTGCCCTAAATTAGGGTTACCCTATCTAAAAACTCCCTTTTCGTGACCCTGTAATCCCCTATCTGGAAGGATAAATAAACCAGGATAACCCTTAGCACACTTTCTCTCCTCAGTCTGCTCTTACCTCACATATCACTGGTTCTTTAGAGAAGAATACCAATAAAGAGGCAGTTGAAGAAGCACAGAAATGATCTAATATGTGTCAGAAAAATAAGTCATGAAAAGTGTGTGAGAGCAGCCTGAAGTTGCCATACCTAAGGATAAAGCAGGTACATAAGCGGGGTGGGGAAAAAAAAGTCAGGATTCTTGTCTAAAAGACCCCTCTGGGGTGATACTTAAGAAGTACCAAACTGGAAAGGAAATGTAGACAGAGACATCACCTGAACCAGGCAAAATAAGTTGGACTTCAGCACTTAGGAACTTCCCACTCAAGTCTGCCAGTTGCCAGTCCAGTCCAGTCCAGCTGCCAGTCTTGTCAATCAACAAAGCCAGGTTTTGGGGGGAGGATAAAAGGGATCCCGAAACCCACCACCAACTTTCAGAGTCATCTTTGGTGCAGACTTGGTGGCTTCCATTCCTCTGGCTAGTGCCTGCCAGCCTAGTCAAGAAATGTGGTGCTCTGTGTGTGTGTGTGTGTGTGTGAGAGAGAGAGAGAGAGAGGGAGGGAGGGAAGGAGGGAGAGAGAGAGAGAGGGAGAGAGAGAGAGAGATGTGAGACAAGTGATGTGACTGACCATTGACCAGAGCTGTGAGTGTGTTGAGTGAGTGACCACAAGCCGTAGCTGGGAGCATGTGTAACACCTCAGGGAGGAATTTTCAAAATGGTCTTCATAAATACACATTTATTTCTTTAGAAATGCATAATTACAGTGGTGGATAGCAGTTTTTCCCCTTTTAAAAAAGTAGTTGGAAGAATACCCATCCCCCCAAAGAGGCGAAGTTTCTGCTTGTATGCTTTTTTTTCCCTCCTTTTTTTTTTTTATGATTACACTGAAACGGGAAAACCAGCAGCAAAAGAAGCTAACATTTATGATCCGGGGCCTGCCTCCGTACCACCTTCGTTTTTTTAAATACATCTCTCTCTCTCTCTCTCTTTGTTATTACAAACATAGCAATTTTTTTTTAAAAAAAAACTTCTTTCCACAGCAAAATATATTTGCACTCTTGATTCTTTCTGAGCGACAAGGGATGCCTTGCAAGACAACCCTGTCTCTGAGAAGACGTCGAGGGATATTTGCAGGGAGGAGTCACGGAGGAGAAGAAACGGTGGTGGCCTGACATCACTCAAAATAGTTGGGTTAATGAAAGTTAGCTAGATCTTCCCTCCCGCGAGGCTGATCCTCCCCCCCCCCCCAGTTAAACCACGTCTCCTAGGAACGGAGTGGAAGGATGGCAGTTCCGCCACGGCTTGGTCCATCAGATCTGCCGGTGGTTCCATTCAAACCAGGTCAGAGGAGGCAGATCACACTCATATGTACAGGAAAAGTCCTGGGAACGCCCTGCAGGCTGAGCAGAAACGACGAACTTGCTCTGTGAACCGGAATCTTTCGCTGTCGTCCACGAGCTGAGATGGTGGCCGCCGTGTCACCTTGTCCTACTGAATCTGAATGGCTCCGTGGTCTATCTGCATTTCTGGCTGGATGGCTGAGTGAAGGGAGTCTGTGTTCTGCACAAGAGTGAGAGAGACAAACAAAGAAACAAACACACCGGAGTTTACCACCAGAGGGCTCGGCTGCCCCTTCAGGGGTCGTGGCATTTGGCTGACAGCCCGAATAAGCTACCGCACTCTAAGCGAGGTTCAACTGCCATCAAAGAAAGTATTTCCGTGCCGGGTCCAAACCAAACTCTCCGTGGTCCAGCTCTCCACCACCCAACTGTGGCTATCTGGCCACCAAAAACATACTAGTGCTAGAAGTCTGAAGCCACTTCCTTTATTTGTGATTTATGTTGTGTCTCTCCTGAAGAACACAACTCCCTCCTCTGAGTTACTGCCAAGGGAGAGGGTGAAGAGTGGAAAGCAGCCATTGGGAAGAGTGATTGGCTACTCTTTGTAAAACTGTTTTTAGACCTACTTTGTTCCTCAAGGTCTCTGCTTTAGATCAGGGTTTCCCAACTTTAAGACTTTGGGACTTCAACTCCCAGAATTCCTCAGCCAGCCATACTTGCAGTTTGGAGAGTGAGGATATGATGGACAGGACAGGCATCCTAAACAAGCAGATGTCTCCTTCTCTCCTACACTTTCCTAGTTAACTAGGCTTGAAGTTCAGAAGATGCTCATCCTGCAAAGAAACTGCCCCGTGCCAACTTTTCTCTCCCAGACTCTCTGTTCCCCCTGAGAGGCTCCAACCTCAGCTTTCGTGCCATAGAAGCCCGTCTGTCTCCTGCCCAGCAAAGCCACCAAGACTTCAGGTCTAAACAATTCATCTCACAATCAGGAGGCTGCGAGTTCAATCCTAGGTAGAGGCAGATCTTTCTCTCTCTGGGCATACTGAGAATATATCTGCTGAACAAAAACTCCGCATTGGTGACAGGAAGGGCAATCGGCCATTAAAACACTCTGCTAGCTCCATTCAGTTGCCCAGACTCCACCCCGCAAGGGATTATGGGGTCGTTAAATGAAGATGATGAACTTTGGTTTTATGTACTCTGCTCAAGTTGTTTCCTCAATCCTTCCTTCTTTATATCTAGAAAGGGGGTGGGGGGATCCTACCCTGAAAGGAAGGGGCTGAAGTGAACAAAGGATGAAGGCTGCCTTAATAGCTTTTCTTCCTCTGGTTTTATTGCACGAGGAATCCATGCTCATTTATAAAGAAGAGCTGGCCGTGAATTCGGAAGGCGACTCTTTCTTCCCCAATTAAAGGCAAACACTTTGAAATGAATTACTGTCTAATAGTGTTGACTCTCCTGCCCATAATAGTGTGTTATTACAGATTTTGCCCCCTCCTCAGTTAATTTACAGGTCATCTCAATTGCTCTCCCCCCCCTCCTCAATACACAACTGACTTAATCAGAACATTTACAACAGCAGTTTGAGTGCAGCTAAAATATAACCCAACACCTAGGAAAAAAAGAAAGAAAGAAAGAAAGAAAGGAATTGCTAAAATAAATAGCTCCTTCTCAAGGGCTGGGTTAATTATCCCACGTTTAACCAGATGTGGAAGACTTTCCGAAGGGCCGGCTTTAAGAGGAAAACGTTTCCTCTCGCGTCGACTGCAGCCCAAGGAAGGAAAAACAAATCTTGGGTGGCATCAGTGTTATTACTGTAATTTAACATGTCAGGGAGCATTAGAGGATCTGGAGGGAAAGAATGCAATCAGCGCACAAAAATAAACATCAGCTGAGGTGAGCCCTGGCACCCTTTGTGCCCAAGGCGCTCTAGGCTGGCACTGCCTCTCAAGCATGGTACCTGGTAACCATCTAAGGACTAATCTGGGTCCAATCTCTGCTCCTCAGGAGGCTGGGCACTGCTGCGCGGAACCCCAAGGCCAGGAGAATCACACCAGCAGCACCACGGCGGGATGTCCTTAGAGCTGATCCCACCTTCCTGGCATTGTAGCGTGAGAAGACAGGTAGTCCTCAACTTACAACAGCAATTGGGGTCAGAACTTCCCTGGCTAAGCAAGGCGGTGGTTACCGGAATCGTGCCCAATTTTATGACTCCTTTTCCCACACAGTGGAGCAAATAGCTGCAGTGAATCACGGGGCCATTAAATGAATCTGGCTTCCCCTGATTGTCGGAAGGTCGCAAGCGGGGATCACATGACTCCCCCCAAGATGCTACAACCATTGGAAATACACGCTGAGCACCTAAATTTGGATCCTGCCACCATGATGAGGCTATGACAGCCATAATTTATTTATATATTATATTTGATATTGATATTATTTGATAAGTGTGAGGACCAGTTGTAAGTCCCCTGTTTCTGTGCCACTGTAACAGTCACTAAAGGAACGGTTGTAAAATGAGGACTACCTACATCATCCAGCAACTCTCCATCAAGCTGGAAGCACGGAAGCTTCTGAGCTAGGCAGCATTGTCTGACTATCACAGAGGTGTGGTAGCTACACAGAGAGCTTTGTATACAAGCCTAGCCCTGTTCTCACAGCGACTGAACCTGATGTGAGCAGGGATAACTCGATGCTTCCAGCTGTTCACCACCTGGACACGAAGCACAGGAAGAAACAAAAGATGTTGTGATGTTTCTCCCAGGAGCTTCACCCTTGCACCAGACTTCCTTTTTATACTTATGTTCCTTGTCACGCATCTTCCCTACTCGGCAATCCGCCCAATCAGCTCCAGCGTGCTTCTCTCTCTCACTCTCTCGCCTAATCTGCAGTTTTACGTATCCTCGCCGTCCTTTAAGGGCCAGCATTCCTTTAGCCTGATCTGCAGCATGGTATAAATCTCTGTGGTTAACCACAATATTAAAAGCTAACATGGTGCAAAGTGTCTGAAAGAGAGCAATTCCAGCCTCGCTGCATATGTAAAGATTTATTTCTGAGTTCAACACAGCAGCTCCCATTAAATGCACGCGAGAAGAGGCAAAAGGAGATGGTGGGCAGTTTCCCTCCCCCCCCCATTGAGTTCAACGGGAGGAAAGGTGTGGAGAGAGACACAGAGGGCTTTCACCAGGAGGAGGCCAGGCTCACTCAGCCCAAGAACACCACACAAGATGATAGCGTTCGGGTTTCTCCATCTCTTATCGTTGCAGAGTTCCTAGCCAGCCATTCGAGGCAAAGGGAATTTAGGAGGAGAAGGGAGATTAGAAACATGATAGATGGACACCATCATTTCCTACAGAAATGATCTACCTTCGCAGATCATGGGATGGAGAAAAGTAAGGGAGGGATAAAGGGGGAAATGTGTATTTATGGGGGACAGTGAAAGCATGTGTTTCCATGGGTGGACAAAAGAAAATGCCAGAACACTTAGAGCCATCAAGCTCCTGCTCCTAAAACGTCCCTCAATCCCTAATGTAGAGCAAGGCCACCCAGGATGTTGCACCTGGTTAAGGTTGCAGGCAGGAGAGCTTGGAAAACCGAATGTATAAAGGTTGGGACTAATCTCTGAGTTCTACCAGGAGGTCTTAATACTGACAATGCTGTAGGCACATACATGCCAGGGGTGAGAAAACCCCCAATGGATTGATGATGATTGTGAAGAAAGGAAGACAAAATAAGAACGCTACATAATTATGAACTTCCTTCACATTCCCTGCCTGAATATTGCACAATTCATTTTTTTTTTGTAGTGCCATCTAGTTTGGTATTTCAGTCTGACTTCCAACAATCTTTCTCAGCTCTGTTGAGTCAGGTTCAACTATAGATTCCAAAATTCCAAGCCTGGGAATTATAGAGAGCACCATGTTGGGGAGGGCTAACTTCATGGAAACATTTGAGAGCAGGTATAGCTGCATTGAGCTGTGCTGGCGCAGTGGTTAGAATGCAGTATTGCAGGCTAACTGCTCACACTGCCAGGAGTTTGATCCTGATGGGCTCAAGGTCGACTCAGCCTTCCATCCTTCCGAGGTGGGTAAAATGAGGACCCAGATTGTTGAGGGCAATAGGCTGACTCTGTAAACCGCTTAGAGAGGGCTGTGAAGCACCCTGAAGCCGTATGTAAGTCTAAGTGCTATGGCTATTTGGTTTTAACAAAAGGAGTTGATGCATTTAGAAGAACAACAGAGAGTGGTAAGTCTTGTGTCATGGAAGCTGTGAGATCCCTCTCCACATTCCCCATTCATGAACAGGAATGGTCTACGCACTGGATTAGCAGCAGAGTGGTCTGTCACCGGGGCCAGCTGGACGTACTGGACCTGGATATCGCTCCCTTGAAGTGGGGATCCATCGACACCAGCAGCTGCAGCATCAGAAGAAGCAACTGCAATCAGTTGGGCACCTTGAAGCACCTGTAGGCCAAGGTAGAGAGAGAGAAAGAGAGAGCATGTATCATCAGTTGGCAACCTTGCAAAGACATAGTAATGAGACATTGGTCATGCCACACAGATCCATGCCAAAATTTCCCTTTACCCAATCGTCAATGAAACTACTGAAGTGAACAAGATTGTCCAGAAAATACCAAAGAAATCACAATGTGTTTGTTTGATATAACATTCACCTTGGAAGGAAAATAAATGCATTCTTCCCACCTCAGTGGGCACCATCTATTCCCCTTACTTTTGTTATGTTGCTTTGTTCTCAAAGCTAGTATTATACATGTTAGGACATTTAACAAAGTAGATTGCTGAATGGGGAATTCTGGGAGTTGAAGTCTTCTCACCTTAAAGTTCTAGGGTTGAGAAACACTGCCTTGGATTTTCAAAAGACAGATTAGCAATCAAGTTAGTGGAATTTGGAAAACTACTTTATGTATATCAGCAGAAAAGATATATAAAATATAATTTCCCCTTCTCATCTGCCACTTATAACTGCACAAGTTCTTAACAAAAATCTCTCACCTAAATCTATTCCCTTCCCAAGTATTTTTAAAACTTGGTCCAAGCTCTGAACTAAGCAAATTCTCTTAGACATCTGAGTAAACAATAGCTAATGACCGCCACTGCAAAAAAAAAACCCAGCTTCACACTTTTTCCACTGACTATATTTCTGTGGGTAGGTGTTGATCGTATCAGTCCAACTTTTATTTAAATTCCAAAAGGAGAGGAAGATTATTAATGTAGAAAATGGAGATCCAATTTCCTTTTATGGTGTTTTTTTTAATGAAAAAGAACATGGACAGACTCTCTTTTGTGTTTAGGCCGGAAAAAGAAGCAGTGTAATTGTGACACTTAGTTGCACAATCTCTTGTCTAGGGAGAGGAAAGGTGTATTCTATAAACCGGGGATGTCCAACCTTGGCAACTTTTAAGACTTGTGGATTTCAACTCCTAGAATTGAGCGCACCATTCAAGGATGGGGTTAGGGATGAACTGCCTGGAAAAACTTGTCAGTAAAAATCAACACCGACTTGATTGCACATAATCCATCAATTGCATTACTCTCAAGGAAGATCTATTTTTCATAGCAACAGCTTTCCCTTTGAGTGGCCATGCCTAAAGAACTGATTGTGGCCAGGGGGAGGGGGGGGCTTATGCTCTTGAGCACAGTCTTTGGAGATTTGCTAGACGTCCCCCAGCCTCTTCCCTCCATAAAATGAATTTTGCTCGCTGGCTGAAGATTTTTACAGTTTTTTTGCATGAAAAGCAAACCCGTCGTAGATAAAAATAGATGGATGGACCATGGGACCGAAATGCGGTCAGAGGAGCAGGGATCAAGTCTTCAAATTAAATGTAACCCAGTCTGGGTCTCTGCCACCGGGACCTGAGGCTTTGTCTTCGGAGCTTTCGGACTCATGCTGGAGCCCATCCGCAGGGAACTTGTGTGTGCTCTGGGCTGTTCTGTGTGTGATGTTTATATGGGGGCTGTTGTGTGTAGCTTTTTAGATGTAGATTCAGTCGTTAACTTAATAGCCAGCCAGCCAGCAGCCCCCCAATCTAAAAAACTACGCACCAGGGATTGGATCCTGCAATATTATCCTGGGGCCTTCATTCGTAAAATAAATCTAATTTATTTAATAGCTTCCATTCAAAACTAACGTCTTGCTTGTAGAGTTATTATCAAACAAGATAAACAGAGTTCTTTCCCGTCAAACTTGTTCTTTTAAAAGAATCTGGAAAAGAAGCTAATATAGTACTATCGTGTATTATTTTTAAATGTCCTTAGTCAAAGCACGGGCCAGTTCAGATCACAACTCAGCACAACTGCTTTCTCTCCAGCTGGCTCAACGTCACTTTTTTTATCAACCAACCAACCAACAGGATCCAGAACCAGCACTTAACCAGCCAGGCAACACCAGTAATCTCTGGGTTCTGCCAAGAAGCTTCTCCCAAGAGCCCTCTTGCTTCGCTCTTCATGATAAAGACCAAGGGTCTCCAAATGGGGGCAACCTGAAGGCTTGTGGACTTCAAACTCCCAGGATTCCTCAGCCAGCATATTTTGTGCCACCCATAAAACCTTGCCACAGGTCTGAATTTTTAAACTTCTATTGGTGGGTCTTGGATGCTGGCAGGTCATCTCCGAGGCGACACATTTCCAGGGTAAATAAGTGAGCTCAGGCTTTGCAAATGTGGAACGGCAGCTACTGAATTTGCTATCAATTTTTCCATTGGATCAAAAAAGGGGAGAACGAGTAGCTAAACCTGCCAAGATGTAGCAGCTGATTATTATTCCTGCCATTTTGCATGTTGAGGGGGAGAAAAAAAGACGAATGAGTGAAAGATATCTACGACTCATTCCTTCCCTTTCTTTTTTTTTCTTTCAGTCCATTTACAGAGAAAAATGCAATTCTCAGCCCTTTCCCCAGTTTTCTTCCATTTGGGGCAGAGGATGGCCAATTTTGAGCCTCCACAATAGAGCAATTTCTGGCATGCCCACCTGAATTATTTAACTGTGGTTAATTTTAGTGCTTTTAATGTTTTTTATACTATTGTAAGCCTCCCAGAGGGGGGGGGGGGGGGAGAGAGGGAGAGAGAGAGGGAGAGAGAGAGAGAGAGAGAGAGAGAGAGGGGGGGGGGGGGAGATGGGTGGGGAAAAATGCAAAAGTGTAAAGAGCCATAGCAAAGGTGCTCCATTCAGCTGTGGAGCACATGCATCTTTGCACACTCTGGTCTTGTTGTGGGAAGGCAGCACACTTGTTTCATGAACGTTGCAGTCGCACACAACAAGGGTTGTTAGTGATACTGGGAATAGCAACCCAGAGAGACTCTTATCTTGCTCTCATTCGGCTGTCAGGGCTCACCCTGTTTTAACAACTTCCATCGGCAACCTCTATCTCCCAATTAGCACTTCGCTATCATAGCGGGGGGGGGGGGGGACTATTTAAAAAATAGTAAATTTTCTTCCCTGTCCTGTGCCCACCTATTTTTTTTTCCCTCCTAAGGCGTATAGCTTCCAAGCTCAGTAAATTCTCAGGCCACATTCTTGCTTCATTACCATTTATTGCACAGGGTTACTTTTCCGGAATTTACCGTCTATATGGCTTACTCTTAACATTGAATATTTTCCATTCCGGAAAGTCTTTTAAAAAAGCAAAACCATCTTCCCTTGAAGTGGACAGATTCTTCCAGGATACCGTGAAATAGGCTTTTATTTATTGCTATTCAGGGTATTGGTGTGTTTAAGCAATTAGGGCTGGGCAAATCCTAGGAGGCAGAATATTATTTTCAAACTGGCTCTGAGTGCAGAATGGCTGTTAACCAATCGGTCGCTGCTAAAATACGCTGTCCTCTCATCCAGATAATGAATGCAGAGCTTTCGAAGGAAGAAGCGATTATAAAAGAAACAGGAAAATACTGTAAATTGCCAATTTGATTGGCGAGCCTAAAAAATTGATCCTAGCTGCTAGGAGAAATTTTCTTCAACAAAAAACAGTTTCATGTGCTGGATCCACAAAATACCCAAATTTAAGTTAAATGACCGCAGCCCAATTCCTTTCTCTCCCCTCCCCAACAAGGGCTACCCTGAAATAACTGGTAGTTAAGTGTCCAAATCCAGCGGTTGGGTGGGAAACATCTGTGACACAATGAAGCCAAAGGACTGAAGGATGACATCATATTCCAAGGTCAAGGAAAGGTGATTCTCTTTGTATATATTTATATGTGAATGCCTCCTAAACCAATAAAAGCAAATCGCGGGCCAGGTCTTCGTGCTGTCTCGCTAATCGGCCTCTTGAGAGGAATTCTTGATTAAATTAACTTCATCAGAGTGCAAGGAACGGGAATGCCTGCCAAAGACTGTGCAAAGTTCGGGAGGGAACGTCTCATCAGCAGAAACCTATTACACATTTGATGGGAAGAGAGAAGAGAGGCAGCTCGGAGCCAGGTCTCTGTGGCTTGGGGCCAGCAGTTATTAGGGCAGGACCCAGGTCAGACTTCTCTTCACGGAAGGAACAAGAAAACACAAGGTAGAGTTACCACGTCAGGGTTAAAGCCCGGCTGCGACCCAGCAAAAGGTAGCTGACAAGAATCCCAAGTTAAGAGTCAGGAAATTTGTGGATTGAATCTTTGCCAACCTAGTGAACTCACTGGTCATTTGGCAAATTTCGTTTTCTCTTAGATAGTTGTAGCATGGTTAAAGAGTTCATTGCATAGTTCCAAAGTAATTTCAGGAAAAAGGCTTCAAGTGACTGGTCTATTTAAATCTATCTATCTATCTATCTATCTATCTATCTATCTATCTATCTATCTATCTATCTA